AAGAAAGAAAGAAAGAAAGAAAGAAAGAAAGAAAGAAAGAAAGAAAGGAAAAGAAAAAGGGCTAGAGAGATTGCTCAGAGGTTAAGAGTACCGGGATCTAAGAGGTGCCCTTCAAAGTGGAAATCCTGGGGAAATGCTTCAGTGCTGGAATGATTTGGGCATACAGATAGAATTTTAGGATTTACAAGAAAATATACTAATTTGGGAGTTTACAAGAAAAAAAGAATCAAAAGAGAAAACCTAAAATAGAGGTTTAATGAATGACAACTTTTAAAGGCTCAGTTCAAGGAAGAAACATTAGTAAAGAGAGCTGAGAAAAAAGAGGCCAAGAGGGAAGCTAGAGTGTGGCATCTAGGAAGCTAAGGGGAAAGAGGTAAGAACCCTGGGGACAGACAAGGCAGGAGGAGAGGACTGGAGTGGCAACAAAAGAATCTGAATTATTTAAGAGTGGCTGGAATGGAGAAGGCTGTAGCAGGCAACACCTAGAAAGGGTTTGCTGAGGGCTTGAGAGATGCTTCAGTTAAGAGCACTAGCTGTACTTCCAGAGGACCTGAATTTGAACCCAGGTCACATGATTCCTGAACACACACACACACACACTTAAAAGAAATAAACATCATTAAGAGAAGCTTGTTTTTTTATAAAATGGTTTGACAAAAAAGGAGATGTTGGACATAGGGTGATGGCTCATCACTGTAGGGGGTTTAGTGGTATGGGTGTGGAACCCAAGGTTTTTCATGTATTTGTTTGTTTGTTTTGTTTTATGATGCAGCTTTACTGTGTAGCTTTGGCCAGCCTGGAATTTACTATGTAGACCAGACTGGCCTGGAACTCATAGATATTTGCCCGCCACCTATGTGCAGGGATACTGCCATCATGCTTGGCCTCAGACTCTCAGACTCTCTACAACTCCCAAAATCCAGGACCCAAGTGTGTTCCCACCTCAGGTTTCCTTGCACCTAGTACCAAAAGCACACCGCTGCACCTGAGCCTGCCTCTTGGGTTGTTTTGTTTACTTTTTTGTTATTCATTATTTTTTGGGAGGTAGACAAAGTTTGTGTGAATGCTCAGGTAGAGACACTTGTGTGCCATAGTACGCTTATGGTGATAACGAGACAACTTTGGCAAATCAGTTCTCTCTTTCTACCAAATGGGTACCAGGAATCAAATGCAGATCATTTTTTACCCATGAAGCCATCCCACTGCCCTCCCCATTTTTATATATATATATATTTTTTTATTGTGAGAGACTTGATATTTTTAAACATTGACAGACTCACTAGAGAGAAAAAAGTAAAGATTCCAGAGATGTTAGAAACAAGCATTTTCCCACAGGTGAAGATCAATCTGTGTTTGATTGATTGATTGATTACTTGGTTGATTGATTTGGTTTTCAAGATACTCTATAGCTCTGGCTGTCTTGGAACTCACTATATAGACAAGGCTGGCCTGGAACTCACCTGCCTCTGCCTCCCAAGCGCTAGGATCAAAGGTGTGCGCCACTGCCTGGCCAACCTGTGATTCTAGAGAGATCTGCATTATAAGACGGGAGATAATAGGCTGTGTGGTTTGCCTTTGCTTGCCTTTTTCCTGCTAGAGATTAGGAAGGAAAACTGATGATACTAAAAACTGATGATACTAAAGCTGGTGAGAAACAAGTATGTGGCTTGAGGAGTAGCAGAGTGGTGAATAAACCTGCCTAACTGGTTCTATGAGGCCCTGGATTCACTCACCAGCACTGCAAAATAAATAAATACAATAATTTGTTAATTCTGTTTACACCTTGACTAAGAGTGACAGCTTCTTCCCCACAGAATGCCATGTTTAACTGAAGATCCATTTAGTTATTTTTTTTTTCTCATTTAGTTAGTGACTGATGAATGAGAAAATGTCAGTTTATTTTATTTTAAAGGTAGGAAAGAAGAAGAAGCTAGGCCTAGTGGTATAAGACTTTAATCCCACCAGGGGGATTTCTATGAGTTCAAGGCCAGCCTTATCTACATAGTGAGTTCCAGGAAAGCCAGAGCTACATAGTGAGACCCTGTCTCAACGTAAAAAAAAGAAAAAAAAAAAAAAAAGGGTAATAAATGTGTAAGTAGGAGTAGGGAAATGACTCCATAGGCAAAGCTTTGTCCTTTACCCTTACACAGAGATAGAAGGGACACACAGCCACACAGCTGAGCTGGAGGAGCTAGGCAATATTCATGAATATAGTGTGTTGTTGATTAAACAATAACAAGGCTAAAGATTTTCGTAGCTCAGTGGTGGGGCACTTAAAAAAACAAATGGCACTGGAGAGGTAGCATGGCTGAAGACCCTGCACTGCTCTTGCAGAGAACCTGAGCCGTTTCCAGCACCCAGGACCTCACAACAGGCTGTAACTCCAGCTTCAGGGGATATGACACACTTCCAGTTCCTCGGGTCACTGCAGTTGTGCACCAGCCCACACAGACACATAGTTTTGGGGTTTTTGAAAGGAGCAAAATGGTACAAGGAAAGGGAAAGGCTACTGGGTTAGATTAGTCATTTCAGCTTTTTTTTTTTTTTTTTAATAAAACCAGACAATATGGAACCTTTCTCTCTCTCCCCCCCCCTTCTCTTTTTCTTTTTTTCTTTCTTTCTTTTTCCCTTCTTTTTTCTTTTTGTATTCACTTTCTGGTATATCTGTTTGTAAAGTGGGATTGCAAAGGGCAGAGCTGTCTGCTAGTTAGCATGCCAGCAGCTCATTGTCTCCTTTTACACTGGGCTGCGTCTACTGCAGCTACAGGCATTATCTGCTCGGTCTTTTTATTGGGTTGCACAGACATAGCTAGAATAATTACTGTACTCCAAGCATATGAATTTAAAATATTTGATAAATACAATGTTGGCTAGTTTGGGAGAATTTAACACTCCTTTTTCTTTTGTTATTCTTATTAAGGGTCAACTGTATTTGTTGGTAACAGACCAGGGGTTTCTTACTGAAGAAAAAGTTGTCTGGGAAAGCCTGCACAATGTGGATGGTGATGGAAATTTCTGTGACTCAGAATTCCATCTTCGGCCTCCTTCAGATCCTGAGACTGTGTACAAAGGTCAACAAGACCAAATAGATCAGGTAAAATTGTTGTCGGCATCCCCCCACATCTTCCTGGCTTGGCTTAGTACAAAAGATGAACCTCTGTTTCACTGAGACACCTGGTCTCAAGACTGTAATACAGAGAATAACAGAAGATACAAGACACCAAGTGTCCTGCTCTCACCACCATAGGTGTGTACACATGCACAAGCCTGTACCACCCCACCCCCAGAAGTTGTCCTCTGGCTTCCGCTCACAGGCACACACACGTACTGCATACACATACATATGCATTTTTTAAAATTCATCTTTTGAGACAGGCATGGTGGCTCATGCCTATAATCTTAGCATTTTAGAAGCTGAAGCAGGATGAATGCTAAGTTTGACATCTGCTATAGACTGAAACCTGTATCAAAAACAAAGGACATCAATAAAAAGCTAGCAGGACTTCCTATCGTAGCACAGCCTGTAATCCCAGAACTTGAGAGGCTGAGGGGAAAAGGTCTCAGCATAGCAAGGTCAGCATAGCAACTTTGAGGTCTACATAGCTCGGGCCTCTCAAAAATGGGTAACTAAATAAAGTAAAATGAAAACAAAAGTCACCCTTCGAGCTAGGTGTGGTAGTGTATAGCTGTAATCCCAGCCCTCAGTAGGCCTAGGTGCAAAGATCTGAAACCGAGACCAGCCCAGACACTTAGTAAGACTTGCCTCAGAACAGAACAAAACATTTTTGGGAGGAGGGGAAGAAAAATGAGTAAATAATCTTATGAAGTTCTTGGAATGTTTTAAAAGCAAACATTAAATGGAAAGTAAAAGATTAAAATAGTTTCAAAGGGTGGGAAATGTGTTTGAATTTAAATGTGAATATAGAAAATACTAGATGGCTATAAATACTCAATGGCTACATCTGTTACAGTGATTTCAGCTTTCATATTTCTGGTTTTTGCTTTTGTCTAAATTTTTTGCTTTTGTCTAAATTTTCCATACTCATATGTTTCTTTTTTAAACAAGATCCTTTTTTCAATAGTTTTCTTGAATGCCTTATTTATTGCTTCTAGAAAAGAATTCTAAAACTATGATAATGTGTAGCTCTGCAAAAAAGTTCTTAGAAATAGAGTTTTTTAAAAAAAATCTGTGCTGTAGGGCCAGGCAATGTTGGCGTACACCTTTAATCTGAGCACTGGGGAGGCAGAGACAGGAGGATTTCTATGAGATCAAGGCCAGGCTGGTCTACAGAGCAAGTTACAGTAGGGCCAGAGCTACACAGAGAAACCCTGTCCCAAAAAACAAAAACAAAACAACATCCCCTCAAAAAACAAACCAAACAAACAAACAAATGTGGTGTAAAAGCCATTAGTGGGTGTCTGTCTTCACACTGGCTGGTCCCTGGGTCACATCTCAACGCTGAAACTGGTTTGATTGAACCCCTCAGGACTACCTTATGGCACTGTCACTGCAGCAAGAACAGCAGAGCCAAGAAATCAACTGGGAGCAAATCCCAGAAGGAATCAGTGACCTGGAGTTGGCGAAGAAACTCCAGGAGGAGGAGGACAGACGGGCCTCTCAGTACTACCAGGAACAGGAGCAGGCGCAGGCGGCTGTGGCTGCTGCCACCACTTCCATACAGGCCCAGGTAAAACCTCAGCTCTGCCAATCTCAAATGTGACAGTTACTTTAGCAGTGAAGGAATTTCTGTTTGGGAGAAGCAGTTATAATTTGGCTCTGGCTTTTTTAGCTGTGTTAGCATGTCAGCACCCAAGGGTTTGGGTTTTTGTTGTTGTTTTGCTTTGTTTTTATATTTATCTTATTTTATGTACATGAGTGTTTTGCACATATATCTGTGTACCATGTGTGTGTCCAGTGCCTACAGAAGTCAGAAGAGGGCATCTGATCCTCAGGAACTGGAGTTATGAACAGTTGTGAGCCACCATGTAGGTGCTAGGAGTTGACCCAGATGTGCCACAAGAACAAGTGCTCGGACCTGCTGAGCCATCTCTCTAGCCCTTTCTGTGGGATTTTTTTTTTTTTTTTCACAAAAAACTTATTCTAAGTTTTTTGCTATCTTAACATATTTCTGATTTCATGATGGTATTTTTCCAAGGTTCTGATAAGATTATTTAGCCTTTTTCTTAAGTTCTTTAGCGCTACAAACTATAAACCAACTTGAACAAAGTGCTTCTGTTGAGCTGGAGGCAGCCTGAGGTTTTGCTGGAAAGAGGGCAATTTTTGGAGCCAGAGAGGTATGGGCTTCTTGTTCCTGCTGGTTCCCACTTCCTATTGCAAACACCAGGTCACAGTCCTCATCTTTCATGGCCCCTCTCCCTGTCAATAAAACAGAAGACCTCATCCTGAGGCTTCTTTAGAAACAACAATTCTAGGATTTAACTCAATTTCCAATACATATTCAGCAAAGGTTAGTTAGTTAGTTAGTTAGTTGTCACTTTTGTTGGTTCATGTTTTAGGTAGTAAGATATGACTGTCACACAAGTTTCTACATTCTGAATCTCATTTCATGAGTTAAAAAGTAACCCTTTCTCTTATTCTAACCTATACCATGCCAGAACCTTTCCCTTTGGCATTGGTGTACAAGAAAACAAGATGCCTTTTAGGAACTCATGAAACCAAGTACAGAATTCACTGGGGCGATGGCTCAGCAAACACGAAGACCTAAGTTCAAATCCCCAGTATTCCTGTAGAAGGTCAGACATAATCATGCAACTATAACCCCAGAACTGAGGTGGGCAGACAGGAGGATCTCAGGGGCTTGATGGCCAGCCTAGATTCAGATTCTGTGAGAGAAATCTCTCAAGGAAATAAGGAAACAGTGAGGATAGCAGATGTACACCTATGGCTTGTATCCGCACCACGTACAAGTGCACACACACATTCTCTCTCTCTGTGTCCCTCTCTTTCTCCACTAAAATGCATGTAAAGCTTCTGCCTCTAAATCAGACACAAACTACCCCAGCTTAGCTGCTGAGTCCCACCAGGTTAGAATCAGCTTTTCATGTCATTCAGTTGTCTGATCTCATAGCAGGCACTTATTATTTTACAGTCTCAATTCTCAGCATTCTCGTTTTTTCTTTTAAGATCTGTTCATTATGATATTTTTTGAACTCTTTTTTTAAGATTTATTTATTTTATGTATATGAATGCTCTGTTTTCACACACACCAGAAGAGGAAATCAGATTCCATTACAGATGGTCGTCAGCCACCATGAGGTTGCTGGGAATTAAACTCAGAATCTCTGGAAGAGCAGTCAGTGCTCTTAACTGTTGAGCCATCCCTCCAGCTCATTATGATATTGAATGAAGTCCTGAATAAATGTTATAGTTTACCAAAATTGTCACTTTAACATATTTCTTAAACTAAAAGCTAAAATGGCTGTAGATAATTATGTATTTGGAATAATGAGTACATTAATGAATTATACATCATAGATGAGATATCCTGTATATTAACTACTACTCTCACACTTGACAGAAGTAACTTAGAGAAGAAAGGTTTGTTGTGACTTACAGTAGAGGGTCCGATTCACCATAGTGAGGAAAGCGCAGTAGTTGAATAGTGCTCAGTTGGTGGAGGTGGGAGTTTGGTAACAAAGAATTTCTATCCTTTCCATCAGGAAGCAGCAGCTGAGCTAGGCAGGAGACACGCCCTGCCACATCCCTCACACTCACCTTTATATGGACCAGCTAGGCCCTCCTCCCTAAGATACCCAAACCTCCCACAGGAGCAGGCCAACTGTTGGACCAGGGGCATCTCTATCCAAACCCAGGGCATCTCTATCCTAACACCAGTGAGCAGAAGCCGTGCCCCCAAAGCTTCTGTTTCTGTGAGGATGCCTTTGCTTTGTAGCTCTAGCTAGCTCTGATTTGGTGCCAGGAAGAGTTAATCATCCCTTCCCATGTGTGTTTTTCCTACTGCAGGGACAGCCAGCACAAGCCTCTCCATCAAGTGTAAAACAGCCTGGGAATAGTGACCGGAAACGCAAGGAACCTCGGGAAAAAGACAAAGAGAAAGAAAAGGAAAAAAATAGCTGTGCAATTTTATAGGAAGTGCTGGCGTCTCTGGGAACCACCTATGCAGATGACGGAAAGGAAGACCCAGTACCTACCGTCTGTGCCTGATCTCCCAATGGATTTTGCTCATGTTTTCCAGGGGAAGGTTGATACTTTGTTACAATCAACATTTTCAAGTTACACAATACACTCTTTATGAGCTGGAGTTTTATGTTACAAGTTGGAACTGTTGTGTATTGTCACTCGTAGCCAAATAAGTATATCACTTCTATTTTGTGTCTAGTAACATAGCAACTCCAATCAGTTAGTAAGCTACTGTGTTCTGTCTGACAATGGATGGAGGTCACTGAGTGAGTCTGATCCTTCTCAAGATGTAATTATTAGCACAATTATTTCTGAAACTTTATGTTGTTAAATTATGTTCTAATCCATGAGAAACGAGGAGTTTAATATAGGGAGGGGGAAAGCAGGAATAATGACCCTTCATTGTACATTGAATTGGTTCAGCCCTTGACCAGCTTTACCTTTCTTTAGTAATGTACATCTTAGCTATTATCTTTAGAACTGATAATGGAGCCTACATCCAATTTAGATAGAACAAAATATTTTTTATTTTCTAATAGCAAAACAAACAAAAAACCACACTACACTAATACTTATAACCTATCCAGATCAGATACTGACTTTGTAGTGCTGTGAGATGTTTAATTTCAGTACCTTCAGGTAGCCTGAATGGTGGTTTCTGTTTGCTAAGGATGTAATAGTGAGTGAGGAGGAGACCACACTCATGTTCAGCCTTGTAAATAAGGACAGAGAAGAGCAGAGTTCACTGTCTACCTTTTTCTAGAATTACCTTGAACCTTAAATTTTAAATCATGTTTATTGCTAGAAAATTAAGCATAGTTATTTAAACCAGTAAAAAGCACATTTCCGAAGGAGAGTCAATCTCTTGACTCTAGTGAAAAGATATTAAAATTTTGAACATAGGTAGAAATCTGAAGGAATTTATGTAAAAGCAATCAGATTTTTTAACTTATGAGAACCAAATAAACCTAAGACATCTTACATCATTTATAGGATTCTGAAAGAATATTTATTCAGCTTTGTGATGAGGCAGCACATAATTGTATTTCTAGATACAGTTTGGAAAACTATCCTTAACAGTCCTTTTTATATACTTTGTATTTAAAGTTTGTTTTGAAGATTATTGCCAGTGCAGGTAGCTGTGTGATTTATCCTAAGCCTCGGTAAACTTTATTCAGGAGCATCACAGATTGAATTTCCAATTAGAGAATATTTCTTGTGGTCAGGAGCCAACAAAAGACTACCAAAAAGAAAGTGGTCTAGAGTTTCTTAAGACAAATTGTCATTAATGTCCTCTGTGATCCAGCTGTAGGCTAAATCTATATGTAAAAAGTAGAGTTTTATTTATGAAAAGTATTGTTCTAAGGGGAAAAATTTTCAGGGCCAGCCATGCTGTAGCCTTTATATCCTTCTATATTACATGTCTATTTATGTTCTTGTTGTTTCTTCATATTTCCTACGATAGCATGGGGACTAATCACAGACTCTGCCTGGGGTGTAAGATTTGTGTTTAAAATACCCAGTAAGTTTCTTGGTTCCAGCCTAGAGTGAGTGCAAATTGTCAGAGATCAGACCCCTTTGGGTGGACTGACCTCAGTGTACCCATGGTAGCACTCTGCTGATTGGATGAGAAAGCTCAAACCTCAGGGTTTGCTTTCCCCAGAACAGTCTAATACTTTCATTTAGAAAACAATAAACCTTGAGTAATTTTTAAAAGTATACTTGAGGCATATTTTTCATAATTATATACAATATCTATTTATTGCCCTTGAAGAATCTATATATATAAATTATGTTATTTTTTACTATCTTAGTTTGTTCCAAAGATAATACTGCCATACTGCATTCCCTCTAGAAGGAAAAACAAAACAAGTACAACTTCCTCTAAAGCAGCGGTGCTGCTCCGATAAGTAGATATGCACTTATGACAAGCAATGTGCTGTTAATCCGACCTGTTCCTGGTGAGACTTCACGTCAGGCATGCTGACATTCCTGGGATTCAGTTTGATATGACAAGAGTCATGACGAGATGTTCGTTTTCATTGCTGTGGGAGAAATTAAATGTTTGATTCTGTTAAAACAAATTTCTGAGATATGCTTTCCTGTTCTTGAAGGCTGTCAAGGATCTAAACTGCCACGTGTTTATTTCCTGTTTTGCTCAAGGTAGCAAGTGATAGGCATATTGTTATTGTTGCTTATTTGGGTATCTAGTACTTTGAAAATGATATTTTGAGGGATTTCCTCCCTCACAATACTTTGTAATACTTGAAATTGTTATACACATATTGCTAAAAGACATTAGAATTTAAATATTTTGGGGTTTAATGGTTCTAGGCTAAATTTCATACACCATTTGGCTCATGTGCCCACTCAACATGAGAGTTAGCAGAAGGCAGGTGGAAGAGGAGATGTGGTCCCTGGCACTTTTCTTTTGCTTTCAAAGCATGGTCTTAAGGTTAGTGGCCAGTCTGTATTAACGTGCACTTCCTCATGAGTGACCGTGTTGTATCAGCAATGCTGTGGGTTATACGAGTTTGTCAATACCAAGAGTCATGTGTATATCTCTGAAGCAGCTTTCCATGACTCCTGTTTGGGTCTCAAAGCAATCTGAAAACATTGTATCAATCTAAAAGTTGTCATTTTAAAAAATATTCACACACACCTGAACTAGGAGTGTCACTAAGTGGTAGAACATTTGCCCAGAGTGCACAAAGCCCTGGGTTCAAATCCTAGCAAATGTACATACAGTAAGCAGGATGATATAAGGCAGCTAATCACACAGCCTTGGCCTTACGCCCAGCCAAGTTTCAAGGTCAGGCTAGTATTTGGACAAGACAGAGGCTTTGAATTAGGTTCGAGAATATATCTAAGCTTGTGTTTACTGCCTCACTCTTCTTTAGTTTGATAATTTACGTTATATTTTTAATTCTTTCTCATGCTCCTTGATCTTGGCTTACTTAAGCAAGATTAGACCACGTTAGTTCACTAAACTCACTGTTATCCATTCTGTACTCACACAAAAGCTTCATAGCATTTTGTCCATGAACCATAAGCTTAATGTAGACCTTGAGGACCACAGGGAAGGTATGAGGAAAGATCATGACTCATGGTTACTGTCTGTGTTGGCATGTGAATGGATATCTGTAAAATCCTAGCAAATTAGGCAAGAATTTTCAGAACTGTCCTCGGTCTTGCTTAAGTTTTTAGACATGGTCTTGCTATATAGCCAGGCTGGCCTGGAATTGACTGTTGTAGCCTCAGCTACCTTTAAACCCAGAATCTTCCTGCCTCAGCTTCTCACTGCTATGACTACAGGTATATGTCACCATACACAGCTTGTTTAAACTTTCTTTAGAAAAGCAAGTAGCAAACTCCATTTTGCATAGCTTTCTTATTCATCGTACCAGTTTTTTTGTTGTTTTTTTTTTTAATGACAGAAAAGCATACAGGTTTCACTGTCTAGGCATGTAATTTAAATTGAAAAATTAATATCTGACAAAATGAGGCAGAGACATTAAAGATAGTCACTCATTTATATTTTAAGGAATTAGACATGTGAAATTCTGGCTCATTTGGTGTTTGAAACCTGACTTTGGGTATGGTAACACACACCTGTCATCCCATGTTTGAGAGGCTGAAGCAGGAGAATCCTGAGTTCAAGGCCACCCTGAGCAAGTAGTAAGACCCTGTTTCCAAAATCAAACCTGACTTTGTCTTGTTTTGGCAATCGTTGTGTGCCTCAGTTTTTCCTCTATATTCAGGGTGCTCCTCTTTCCCCAACCACCAATGCTTGGTTCTCCTGAGTAAATGCCATACTTTGAGCACTGAGAATTACTGAGATCATCACAGACATTGTACATCCTCCACTCCTGAATGTGCAGACTTTTTATGGCTTAAGTCAGTTTTGTTTTGTTTTGTTTCTTTAATGCTGTTAGAGTCTGTAGAGTTCCTTTGAATTTGGCATCATGGCTTTCAAAAATGTTTTGCAGTTGCTTTTGTATTCGGTAGACTAGTGTCAAGATTGGGGAGTATTTGGGCATATTAAACATGCACTTTACAAATCTGTTTTCCCGTATCTTTCACAGGTGTGGCATTTAGAGCCTTTAGAGCCCCTTGGTGTAGCTCTGCAGGGTAGAGGATTATCAGGAACTGACTTTGCTCTCCCCACTGCCGTCTAGACAACTTATTTGTGGCTTAGCGTGAAAATGGATTCTGATCATGTACAAGTGAGAGACTGTAAAGGAATGTATTTGAACCTTAAGAGTCCTTGGTTCTCTAATAATTTAGTATCTTTTGTTATTGATGTCTGACACTTCTTAAACTGCTAAGGGGAAAAATTATGAAGATTTGAGTTTACTTTTCTTAGGTAACAGTTTAAAGCAACTTTAAAATTAAAAGCTCCCTGATAGGAATAAGTTATAGAGACAACAAAACAGGAGGAAACCTTGCAGGTCGCCGGGAAACTTAGTTTGAAAATCTATCTAAAATTTAATTCATGCATGTCTTAACTTAATCCCGGTATTTCTGCTATTAGGAAATAGAGCTTAACAAATTGATATATGCATATATTTTTTTACATGTAGGATTCTAGTTTCTATCTTTTGAACTCAAGAAAATTTAACTCAAACAGGGTAAAAATCTTCAACTTTGCCTCAAATTCAATGTTCCTTTGTCTTGACAAAGGTTAGTTAGACTTGTCTAATAAGCTGGTATTTTTAAGGCATGATACCCTCCTGTTAACTAGTTAAAATACCATGTCAGAGATAGGAAATCCAAGCTTTGCCCCAAGTTAAGGTAAAGAACAAAAGCTCCCTTATCCCAGAAAGCGTCCACTCTATCTAGCGTGAATTGTAAAGACTTCCTCAGCTCACATCATAATTTGTCACTTGTCACCTTTTAAATGTTTTCTCCATCTGCACTGTAACATCTGGAGAGGCAGGGCGGCTCAGTAATCAGAGGGCACACAACATGGTGTCCTGCCGTAGGCAGTCCTTGCTTCTTCGGCTCCAGGGGTCACTTTACAGCTTTATGTTGACAGTCAGGAAGCTGAAATACCATTAGAAACCATGAATCACTGATGACACCCTAACAGAAATGCCCTATGATACCACCAAGTCATGCAGTGAGTTTTAAGACAGAGATTGCTGTTTAATCTTTGGAAATGATGTCTGGTTTGTGAGAATGTCTGTCGGTGTTGCTTCCCACCCTTATTTGTATGACATAACCACTGTGACAGGAGGCAGTGTCTCTTCACTTCCCAGGTTTCTTCTAGTTTTTGTTAAGACTTATTTTCCTCAATAAAATGGTAAACTGTTATCACAGATCCACATGAGACCAGATAATAGAAGACTGATGTGTGACTGCAAAATGAGAGAGGGATAATCTCCCAGGAAACTCATTTCCTAATGACAGCACATTTGACTCTCTTCCCTTGACTTGGGCTGAATAAGCAGGTTGAAACGTGGATTTGGGAGAGTAACAAGTTAAATGGAATGATCACTGAAACTGTCATTTTGAACAGCACTAAGGAGAAGAAATAGGTTTTCTTCCTCCACTTCAGTGAGGCTAACTTGGAGCGGTGTGCTAGCTGAAATGGGCCCTCAAAATTGACTATAAGGACAGAGTGCCCCTACTCACCTTTCCTCACTGTCCCAGTAGCTTTTCTAATTCCGATAATTCATTCTTCTGCTTTAAATGCAAGTGAAGAATGATGAGTAACAGAGATGACATACAAGCACTGGGATATGCTCTTTCAAAAAAGACACCTAAAATGTACCGACCCATTACAGGGCCCAACTGATTTCTGTGAAATACTTACTGTTTTAATGCTAATTATGCTAAGACCACCTCTAAAAATTATGTCTCAAATTTCAAGTTTCACTTTTGGAAACTACTCCTGAAAAGACATTGAATATAGGTGGGAAAGTATAAAATGTTTCTGACACAATGATTCAGTATTATTCAGTGTTTAATCTCAAATTTGTTGTTGTACCACAAATGTAGTGTCATCATTGGATGAAAACGTTGGATGTTTTTGTTAATATACTTAAAACTGTAACCAGTGAATAACACCGTAGTATTTTTTATTATAGATTATATTTTATTTCAATAAACTTTGATATTTAGACTGAACATTCTCTCCTTGTGTCAGCTCATCACCCTAAGTTACCGTCTGTATGGGTGGTCACATTTACTTGAGACTCATTAAGATCAAGGTTTGATACAAGGGACAGTTAATCAACTCTCAGCTACAAAGTGGCAACCCTGGCTCCAGTGAGGGAAAAAGTCACCATCTCACACAGCTCTCCTACTGGAGTCAGGAAGAACTGAAAGGGATAATTTCCTCCATCCACCATGGATTCCAGGTTGTTAGGGAAGCACCCCAAGTCCCTCTACCCACTGAGCCATCTCAGTTTGTTTGCTGAGTGATTCAGAGCAAACGCTGTAGCTCAAAGTTGGTATCAGACATGAATGGTCAAGTATAAAATGGCTTTTAAAAACTCTTATGGCCACTCATGGTGGTCCACATCCATAATTCCAGCACTCAGGTGGCTGACACAGGAGGATTGGTGAGAGCTAAAGCCTAGCCTCGGCTATGAAGTCAGAGATTGCCTTAAGTTTCAAACAAAATGCTATTTTGTTCTGAAGGGCTCTAGCCAGAGGCCGGTTTCCTTTATTAAGTGACTAAGTTCAAACCTTAACCACACTCCTTTTTTAGAATCTCAAATGTCAGGCTACTGCATCCAGACTTAAAGACATCTTGGATAGAACAGATGACTTGAGACAGTCATACCTACAATGAAATCATTCAAATTGGTCCAGAGGGAGTCCTGAATAGTTACAAACCTTGCCCCACTTGCCATCAATAACTGCCCTCCCAGCTCTGTAGCTGGGTGCAGCAACCTGCTGGGTGGTGGCCCAGGCTTTTCCTGCTTAGGACTGTAACCAGTAGACCGACTTTCATATACTTGAGCATCGTACTGACTCTCACCATCACAAGCATTTTTAACTTTGGAGGTGCAAGCCTAGGATCCGAACATTCTGGAGACTGAGACAGGAGCAATCAGGAACTCCAGATCAGCTTGAGCTACACAAGCCCTTGTCTCAAAGCAAAAATGAAGACAGTGCATGGCAGTGCATATCTGTAATTGCAGTATTTAGGTGGAGGATGGTGAACTCAAGACAAGCTTGGGATTACAGCAAGACTCAAGGAAGGGGAAAGAAGGCGGGCCATCAACTGGGACACAATATTTCCAGCACATATCTAATAGTATGTAAAGAGGGCTTAGACACAAAGAGGATGGACATCAGAAGAAGAAGAAAGCAGGAAACAACCTAGGAACCTGCCACAGAGGGCCTCTGAAAGACTCTGCCCTGCAGACTATCAAAGCAGATGCTGAGACTTATGGCCAACTGTTGGGCAGAGTGCATGGAATCTTATGTAAGAAGTGCGAAATAGTAGGTTATGGAGAAGATGGGAATCCCACAAGGAGAGCAACAGAACCAGAAGATTTGAACACAGGAGTCTTCTCAGAGACCCATACTCCAACAAGTACCAGGCATGGAGATAATCTAGAACCCCTGCACAGATGTAATCCATGGCAGTTTAGTGTCTAAGTGGGCTACATAGTAATGGGAAGAGGGACTGCCTCCGACACAGTCTGATTGGCCTGCTCTTTGATTACCTCCCCCTGAGGGGAGAGCAGTCTTAACAGGCCACAGAAGATGACAATGCAGCCACTCCTGATGAGATCTGATAGACTAAGATCAGAAGAAAGAAGAGGAGGACCTCCCCTATCAGTGGACTTGGGGAGGGGCATGCGTGAAGAAGGGGGAGGGAGGGTGGGATGAAGTGGGAGGGGCTTATGGGGGGATACAAAGTGAATAAAGTGTAAAAAAAAAAAGAAAAAAAAGAGGGCTTAGACAAAAATACAATTAAAATAGTCAAGATGTAAACAAATAATTTAAAGCTATATCAATAGTCAAAAGTATGTAAAAATATGCTAATATCATTAGAACAGACATTCAAGAGCTGATAAGATGGTTCAGTGGGGTAAGAGAGCTTGGCTGCCAAGCATGATGACCTGAATTCAATTCCAGGACTCTCATGGGAGGAGAACTGACTTTTGGAATTGTCCACTGACCTCTGGATGTGCACTGTGACACACACACATACAAATTTATGTAATTAAAATTTATAAATTGTTTAAGAGTAAAAAAATACTAAGTCTACAATGAGATAGTACTGTATACCCATAAACAGCCAATACCAGGAGTACTGCCAAACCCCAGGTGTAAGTCTGGGCAGTTCAGACCTTGTGTGGATGCAAAGATGACACAAACTTCCTAATTCCCAGTGGTTTCCTGCAATGTTAAATATACACTGCCATATGTAACACCTGGCAATTCCAAGCCTACTTACTCAAGAGAAACTAAAACACATAAAGAAACTTGTCCACAAATATTCAGAATTTTTATTCATCAGACGAACAAGCAAGCTGAGTTTCCATCAACAAGTGAAGGCACAGCAAACTGTACAATATATGTACAATGGAAACCTACACAGCAACAGACAAGAACTGCTGACACACAGCATCACGGCCCAAATGCAAACTCCGCATTGAGTTAAAGGATGTTTGTGTCTGAGTTTAGTTATAAGAAACTTGAAAAATAAAATGCAACAGTAGCTGCAGAACCGGTTTGGGATGACCAGGAAAGGACATGAAGGGCTGAGATGACTCAGCAATTAAGAGCATGTGTTGCTCTTGCAGAAGACCAGAGTTTGATTCCCAGCACCCACGTCATATGGCTCACAACCACCAGTAACTCCAGCTCCAGGGGGACCCGAACTCATGTGCACATAATCACACAGACACACATGAATGCACATATTAAAAATAAATTAAATCTAAAAAAAAGACAATATTTTCAGTGATAAGTAGTCTGCTCTTTGATTATGGCAGCGCTAACACAGCTATTTAAATTTGTTGGTGTTCTGATCATCTGTAAATTCCAGTTTAAAATAATTTCAAATGCCTTTATATTAGCAACAAACAATTGAAATTTTAAAAATTCTAGTTGAAGCCAGGCATGGTGGTGCATGCTTTTAAATCCCAGCACTCGGGAGGCTGAGGCAGGCGGATCTCTGTGAGTTTAGGTGGAGGCCAGCCTAGTCGGCAGAGTGAGTCCTAGGACAGTCAGGGTAAAACAGAGAAACCCTATCTCGGAAAAACAAAACAAAACATAAAAGCCACATTAGGACCCGAGCTCCCTCCCCAGAATCCATGTTTTAAAAATGGGGGGTGTGGTATTTTGAACGACAATGCCCCTAAAGGCACATGTGTGAACACTTGGTCCCTCGCTGGTGGGACTGCTGGGAAGAATTAGGAAGAGTGGCCGTTTGGATAGGCTGTGCCACTGGGGGCACTCTCCGAGGTTTCCGTTCCCAGGGAATCTCTCTGCCTCCAACTTGAAGGTTGAGATGGGAGCTCTCTGCTCCCTGCTCCCTACCGCCACGCCTTTGCTCCAAGATTGCAGACTCTCACCCTCTGACACCGGAAGGCCAATTAAGCGCTCTTTAAAGAAGATGCCTTGGTCATGGTGTTTAATCACAGCAATAGAGAACAAACTAAGACACCGGCACAGAGGTGTGCATTCAATCCCAGTGCTGGAGAAGAGAACACACTCAGAGCCCCAGGGCTGACCGGCCAGCCTGGCCTAGCTGGTGAACTGCAAACCAATGAAGAGATCCCATCCCAAAACAAGCAGGACTGCTCCTGAGGGAGGGCACTGAGGCTGACCTGCACGTGTACACAACGCCACCACAGAACATCAGAAAATGGAGATTTTAGTGCAAGACCCACACACTGAAACCCGGAACCTGTGTTACTTTCCCTTTGTCATTCCATGACCACTGGATGGTTTTGTGTTTCCATCTCATTTATCTTTTGACCCAACAGAAAGAATGGAGGTTGGAGAGAAGGAAACACTAGCTTCAAAAATCCAGGCGGCCCCTAGATTTACATTTGAGAAAAGCTTACCTCCGAATCGTTAAGAAATCTTAGGGTTTTGCTTGTGAGAGAAACTTGTGCTAACGGGAAGGGTGTGGCACTGGAGAGGGAGAGAGCTTAGCATGAAGGGCATGCATGTACATGCGCTTGCAGAGGCCCTGAATTGGGTTCCCAGTGCCCACCCACATCACGCAGTTTACAACTGCCTGTAACTACAGCTCCTGAGGATCTGAGGCCTCCAGCCTCATGTACACACACACACACACAGAAACATGCAAATACACATATCTTTAAATGAAAAAAAAATAGTTCTTAATTATGAATATCTTGAATGCATGTATGTCTGTGTACCACATGTGTACAGGGCCTACAAAAGCCAGAAGAGGGTATGAGATCCCAGTGAGTTGCCATGTGAGTGCTGGGGAATTGAACCCCAGTCCTCTGGAAGAGCAGTCAAAGCTCTTAACCTCTGAGCCACCTCTCCAGGCCCCTCTTTAAAATTTTTAAACATTTTAAAATAATGTATTACCTAGGCCAGCAAGGTAACTCAAGTGGGCAAGGGTGATTGTCACAGAAGCCTGAAGAACTGAATTTAACTCTGACTCCATGTAGAGATGGAAAGAGAATCCGTGGCATTGTCCTCTGCTCTCCCCATGTACTATGGCTCCTGTCTACTCTTACACCCCTTCTTTCTTTGCTCTCTCCTCTCCTTCTCTCTCTCTCTCTCTCTCTCTCTCTCTCTCTCTCTCATATACACACACACACATACACTTGAGGTGGACAGATGGCTCAACAGTCAAACGCACTTGCTGCTCTTGAAGAGGACCTGGCTCAATTCCCAGCACCCACATGGCTGCGCACAACTGTCTGTAACGCCAGTCTTAGAGCTGACGCCCTCTTCTGGCCTCTAAGGGCATTGTGTATGTGTGCACAGACACGTTCAGACAGAACATTCATACATATAAAAGATAAATAAAAATTAATTTTCAATAAATGTAAGGTTTTTTAAAAAAAAATTACTAAATTTCAACAGTAATCTTGAAAACACGTTTCTTTTGAAGTTGTACTTATTTTAAAAGTAAGTAGTGGATAAAGGAAATGTTGTGAAAAGTTACTCTGTCC